CCGAATAATTTTGGAGCTATTCTTATAAGGGCTTTAGGAAATTATACTCGCTAGCAAAATAAAAAGAACCAATTTTTATGAAAAATTCATGAGACTATGTTCATTAGATGTCTAAAAAATTGTTTGAAATTGTAATTATTAATAAAAATTATAATTTATGATGAAAAAAGTAATTTTTTGGAAAAAATCAACTCTATTTAATTATACTAGCAAATATTGATATCAAGGGATGATTTTTTATCATTATTTTTATCGGTCTTTCATATTCTGAATAAAAATTTAACACTCCATTTGTTTATTTAGCAAACAATTCTTTACGAATAAATATGTTTCCACATTTTTAGTTATTAAAAAATTAACAAAAATAATCGTTCATCGTTTCTTGAAAAAATTTTTATTTCATTTTCTATTTGTGAACTCAGCTCTCCAGAACTAATACTTTAAAGTTCAATGGGCGTTCTTATTTTAGTGAGTGGAAAAATTTTCAATTATTTTATCTTAAAATTTATATTTTAGTCGGAAAACCAATTAAAAGCTGTGTGGATAAAAGTTTGATTCGCTTAACTTTTAGTTAATTTTCGAAAATGTTTGCGAAATAACTAATAAATATCGAACTAATTTTTGCGGAATGCTAATTCTGAATAGAGAGTGAAAAATTCTAAACAGTATAGGCATAGAAAAAAGTTTGATTTACACCATCATACCCCAATATTCTTTTATCATTTTCTACTCAGAACATGCATTTATGAAAGAAAACTCCAATGTTATTCGATATATAGGTACCCATTCCACAAAATTTTGCATCAAATTTTTAACCATATACATTTTTTTGTATTTTTTTTACTTTGTATCGCTAGACTCAATTATGTTTTTACGAGGATCACGAAAAAATGTATTTTGAAAACATGTCGTTTGGATTAAGATTCAGGTGTTGATAGTGAAAGATGAAAAACTGAAACACAATATATGTACCTACATAAAGATTTTTTTTTGAAAAATTCGTACTGGTAGTCTTGAATTATCACTTACCTAGTGAAAAATATGATCTTCAGAATGATTTTTCAAATATGTCTTATATAATTTAGCCTTCTATTGAGAATTCTAACCTCCATTCGTTTTCCGTATCTAGTAACTTAATTCCTCTGAATAATGACGACTTTCATATTTCTGCTATGGCTCTGTAGAAGGCGATCTAAGTAATTAGTCAAATAGTACATAATTCGTAACCAATGCCATTTATTATTTCCAGAAAATAACAGTATTTGATTCCCTAATGAGGCCATTCCAACGTTAAGTGATTTTAATTGATTACGGGCTACTAACTGTTTTCAAAAATTAAAAAAAAAAGCGTTAAGGAGTGTGATATTGATTATGACTGCCTACTTACTATGAACTTCCTGGCATAATATTTCACATTCCGGTTACTCTAGTTACTCGTATCAATCATATATCATTACTTATTTGACCTCTAGTTTCTATAGCTTGGTACATGTTGTTGTAGCATTTGTTTGTAGCTTTGTAGTTTTTCTTTTATGTTAATAGTAAATCGTCTTATTCTCCATAGCTCAGTAGATAATCAATCTATCAAAATACTATTTTTTTTTCATCCAGAACAATGAAAACATTACTTCAAGAATTAGATCTATTCCCTTTTTCGAATCCCTGAAAACGTTAAAATCAACTGAATTTTAGAATTATACTTGAAATTTTGTTTTCGTTGTTATTCGTTATCATCGCATCAGTGATCACTGAATCATCATTTGACTTTATCCCATAATATAATAATAATAAAGGGCTTTTTTTTTCACAGAAACAATTGGAACTAATCTAAACAACATCGAAGCTCACTGCTCATTTTTCTCACACCAGAACAAAACACTATATCTAGATGCTCGTTTTGCCAACTAAGTAGCATCATCAGATCAGCTTTTATCATCTCCTGATGATGCTAACTTTGTTAGCAAAAAGCTTGCCCTGAAACAGTATTTTTGTTCTGGTGTGGAAAAACGTTTATTTCAGAGGTTCTATCTACTATTTTTTCAACAACTTTATTAACTGCATGTTTTTCGTGCGCAACTTTATAAAAAATGTCGTCTGGAGTAAGACGTCGGCAATCAATTACTTCCATAATACGCTCTGTTGGTGTAATGAAAAAGAGCAGTCGCTCAGAAAACATTGGCCGATTAACATAGCATTATGCTTTCAAAGCTGGGTTACATTCCTAATTGCATATTCAAATCCATCTCCATAACCAAATTTAGGAAATCACCTTGATACAGGTATGGAAATTTAGACGTTCACGACATTTTTCAGACTAAAAATACGAAAACATACAGGGTGTCAATTTGAGAACTTTTCACCTTTCACTAAATAATTACTTTTGAAATTACAAACATTCCTCTATTTTTTATATATAAGTACTGGAGGAGTAGAAAATGTATTATTATATTGTATATTACCTTTTAAGAACGGATTTTCAAAAATATAAAAAAATTGCTAACCCACACTTCAAAATGTTGAGTTGCTCTACATAGTATTTTTTTTCTGAAAACACTCTTGTAGGTTCCTGTATTTTAAAACTGTATTTTGCAGTTTAATAGATCGACGCCAAATTTTAATATGAATTACCTGTCTGTTTTATATTTGCATCTTCAGTTTTTTCTTCTATTTCTCATCTTTTCTATTTTCCACCGAAAAATTTGTCCCCAAATCAAAAACATACCTCGGGCTCATTTTTCAATATGAAAATCTTTTCTTTTTCAGACACAAATAAACATTAAAGTTATCACTGGATAGCTCAAGTAAAAATTGAATTAATATTACATTAGGGAAGCCTTAAAATTATCAGTAAAATATTCCTGCTATTTGACTTGATGTAGACTTTATCCGTGGAATAATTCTAAAAAACAGCGATTGAAAACACTGTTCAAAGCATATATAGTTTATCGGAAAGGAGAAATACAAATTTTACTGCAAATGAAGAACCGTTTTCATTGTTTATGCAATCCGACTTGTTAATTGTCTTCAAAAACCTTTCACAACTAGGTAGTCTATCAAAAACGATAATTTCACCTATCTAGTCGTCGAATACCTTGAAGGTCGAGTTGTTGGGAAGAATTACAATAAACCAGTTATCCTCTGTACAAATGAACTAAAAATATTTGTCCAAATTGATCGCTACCGAAAAATGGTATTCAGTACTTTTTAATACTCAAAAGACTATAAAAACACCTCCACCAGAACCTGAATGTGTTTTGATCCATCTGTGAACACCAGAAACTACCTGCTCTTAATATTTCCTTCCCCCGGAGAATTCTGGGAATGACCCGCAGATCAGCATTCCGGGAATGCCCTTCCAGTGTCAACCAGCAGTCTGTTGTACTCAGAATTAGATTGATTTGTGCAATTGGCAATATCCACAAGTCTATATGCAGTCCATCTAGCTTCTCTCTCCAAAAAGATGTGGAGAGGAGGTAGATCTAGAAGGATCTCTATGGCTGCTGACGGTGTTGTACACTGATGGCATCACTGATGACCAGACAAGCCTGTCTCTGTAAGCCAGAGAGCGTCGCCTGAGCCGTTTTCTCTAAAGCCTTCGGACACCACGCAATTGCTCCATAAGCGATCATTGGTGGCGTTAAATCGACCAATTTTTTCCTTCTGGTGAAGGAGATTATCACAGTTTTACTGAGGTTGACAGACATCTGCTCCCTCAGGCACCAACTGTGAACAACGTCCATCGTGCTTTGGTGGATATTACCCGATGTGGACCTTGCCAAAATGACAAGGTCATCTGCACAAGCTTTCAGATCTAGTGTTCTTCTGTTGAGGGCATCCAGCAGACTATCCATTAGAAGCGACCACAGAAGGGGAGATAGTACTCCACCTCGTGACTCTGAACCTAATTGCCTCGCCTTGAAGAGTCGTAGTTGCAGTTCCGTTTACCAGCATGGCATAGATCTAGCCAGTTATGGTGGATTCTGTGCATTTCTTAGCCAGGGATGATCCTATAGATTTAGATAAAGCATTGTCGAATGCTCCTTCATTGTCGAGAAATATAACAACCGCAATGTTCTTGTTGTCAAGGGATTGGGACATTTTCTCTAAAAGGTTGTTTAGTGCTAAATCTATTTGCCGGTTTGATATGCATACTGGTGATTATTCAAGGGGGCTGCATATTATGTAGATGGATAAGGCCAAAACGTTTGTTTCCCTAAAATTAATTTCTCCTAGAAATATACCCCTTTCAATTTGAACAAGATTTGAACTTTTTTTGGAAATTGAGTTTCGTATTTACCAGTACTAGTTTGATATTTCCAACTTGAGATGTCTGATCTCGTTTCTGGGCGGAATTCATCATTATAAACATTTAAACGGTAGGTTTTAACTTTATCAAGAAATATATAACAGCTAACTAGTGATCTACACCATCCAGAGTTGTGGTTTTCATGAATATACTGTTTTTTGGAGACATTTGAGATATTGTGGATTATTGAATAAACAATTCTTTCTGGCGTTTCAATCGATCCGATAAATTAACACGATTGTTTCAAAATATATTCTTCACTTGATAGATACAACTGGTGTTGTGTGTTTTAAAAATATCTAACTATTAATATGATAATCTATGTTTGTCAAAAATATTAAATTAATTGTAATAACAAAAAAAATCAACTATACCCCCATTCTTACTACTGAAAAGGATTGAAAATGATGATTACATTCGATTAATAGCATGGTAATGACAGGTTTATGAAATATTTATTGTCCGGGAATAAATATACTTATGAAGCAGTTACTAGATACCAAGTTTCAGTAATTAATGAACTAATGAATGAATTGATGGATGTAGCCCTTAGCACATGGTAGATCATCATGAAAACCGAGAAATAAAATTTTCTGTTTTTTTAAACACTTTTATTCGTAACTGATGTTACTGCAGTTTCGTACTTTATAAGGACATTTTCAAACAATTACAATATATGAAGTTTTTTTTTCAGCTTATGGTAAAGTGTTCCTAGTGAGGAAACGGGGCGGATCGGACGATGGTCGACTCTACGCCATGAAAGTACTGAAAAAGGCAACGATCGTCCAAAAGAAAAAAACGACTGAACACACGAAAACGGAAAGACAAGTCTTGGAGGCCGTCCGAGACAACCCTTTCCTTGTTACTTTACATTATGCCTTCCAGACGGATGCCAAATTGCACCTCATATTAGGTAAGAATGATAAAAATGATATTATAGGATGACTGACATGAATGAAGTTGAAACTTCAAATACACAAACACTTCAACTAAAACTTCAACTATTATTTGAATGTCTATCGCCTTACTAGATCACTTCGCGTACCGCACTGTAACTTCCACTTGACTGTGTCGATATCCTCGTAGCCAGTCTTTAAATATCGCAATCGAATGCCGCAGAAATTTCGGCGAAGTTTCGTCGAAATCGGTAGCATTATTCTCGCTGCTTCTAGAGTGGCGGGGAATCATCGTGCATTCGCGCGCTCTTAGCTACGTTTGGTTTATGGTTACCAGTGGCGGCCGGTGTTATTTTCTTTCAGGCGTGATTTACCACAATAGTTTAATTTCTTTGTTTCTAGTGGATTTCACTGCTTGGTTATTGGGTCATTTTGTTGTATCGTTTCACTGTAACCAGGTAACCACATTCTGAATAACATCACCTTCGTTATACAATACTAGAAAAACTCTGCTCTGGTCGCAAGTATAAGTTGAAAACTTTCCTTGCAAATTATTTGGGTTCAACTGAAAACCTTCATGAGTTAGTTTTGCCAGGTGGCCTTTTTCAAACTAGTAGTGAGTCCCAACAAAGAGGGAAGCATTTATTGGACCATACATGGTGTCAATCCTGAAATGTCACTAGCAAAGTTTTCACAACAGGTGCTTGCGCTTGGCTGTGGTTCTGGAAACATGGTCTTTTTCATTTCCTTCAATGGACGACTATTCTATGTATTCATATCTGAGTTGAATGTAAGATTTCCTAATACTTATTTCCTAGCACTGTTTTTCCTGTTAATCCAAATTCTTCATACTATCAAAAGTTGCTTCACTTAAAATGTTCTATACCACAAACTACTAGTCCGACAGCTGTGAAATTTGAAGGTTAGGGTAAACTATAAATCATATTCATCATATACTAGTAGCGCCATCTGTATGTTAGTCTACGAACTTCTCAGTCCACTTACTATGTCCTTAGTTGCTATCGAGTAAAATGGCGGGTAAGTTCATTTTTGAATTATTTTCAACCTAATCGCGCTCTACGTGAATATTTGGAACACGATCCTGTTACCAAGTGATTTGAGTATAAGAAGTCTTTAATTAGCCAATATGGTTTCAGCATAAAGTTGCTGAATTATTCAACTAAAACTTTCACCTGTGGTTTCTGTTGGAACAGAGCGGTATCTTCGATAACGCGACATTCACTTGTTCTACTTTTGGGTTTTCGCCGCTAATCTGAATTCGATTATTACTTGTTGGGAATTCAGCGATTTTACAGTTTTCAATCCTTTTGAAGTTTCGATAATGTTGTGCTGAAATTCCTCCGTTGATATTTTTGGTACCTTCAATGATACACACAGGATAAATATATAGGAAATCCACCTTCAATGCAATAATAAATTCTTGAAAGTAAATTCGTAATTACTGGTTTATCGAGAAAATAATGAATATAGTTATTAACTGCCTCAAATGAACGATAATCCATAATATTTACCTATTTTTTTATTATTACATAATTGCTTCTGGTGTTTGTTATATTGTATGTAGACAGTAAAAATTATGAAAGCATTATGAAGAATTTATTCAATACTTATACTTTAATTAATTTTGCTAGTGCAAACGGATTTTTTTTGCAAGATCCACAAAAACTGTTGACATAGTTTTGATATGTTGTCATGAATAATTTATTTTGAAATTTTCATGTTTCCGTATAGATTCAAAATGTTACCTTATCTCATAGGAATTTAATCGTTCAGTTGGTGTTCTGAAGATAAAAAAAAACATAATATTTTCACAGAGAAATATCAATAATAGCGATAAAAATATGTATAGATCATTCGATAGAATAGTGTCTTATGAAGGAACGATTCAGTTTCTGTCATTAATAAATTACATTCATATTTATAATCAATTTCAAAAATCGTTGGATTATAAAGTATTGTTTTTTCAACTCCATCAATTTTTTTTTCGTTTATTGACTATCTGGTGTTTTGTTATAATTATCTATTGGAATTATTGAAAACCACCCTAAGCATATTTTAAAATTCGATGAATCAGTTTTTGTAATATGTAATATGAGAATAATGTCTACATTATCACCGCACAAAAATCATGTTTATTGTTCATTGACATTTTCAGTTACCCACTGTATAATGGACCCGGTCGAATTCACACAAGTAAATTTTCACTGCTCTGAATTACAAATATTAGCATATGCGCTTGTACTACTAACATATTCAAATTATCACTACGCTTATTTCTTTTTATAACACTAACATAGATATTAGGCTTTTTATATTTCAAAGAAATGGATCGATATATCCGAGAATTTGTTCGTTGGTTTATCATTGATGGACATTCCCAAATTCCCAAAATACTTTATTATTTATTAACATTAGTGAGGTTTGACACCGGAACAAAAGTACTGGCTTTCGACGCGCGTTTCGCTAAATAAATTGGCATCATCAGAAGATGAATATGACTAGAAAACTATTGTTATAGTATGTTGAGCTATAATTCCGGTAGGTGCCTTATTGCAATACGAGTTGTTTTACAGGTTACAGGACCCAACTCCTAAATGTAAAGGAGTACTGTAATAACATCTAACGGACATCTATCGTATGGTAATTTATTTCATATTGTCTTCATAATATTTCTTGAATAAATTGAATTACACATTTTATTTGTCTGAGCAAAATATATAAATAATTAATATTAGAAGTCTATTCTATGGTTTTCTAATATTTTTCACTTAACAAAGTTGATAGAAACATATATTTCACAATTAAAAAGACAAATATTATTAGTAAATATCAATATAAGTATATTGTTGTTCCTCAGGGCACAGTCCTGGGTCCTATTTTGTTTAATCTATACATCAATAGCATATTCTCACTTAAATGCGAAGGGGAATTTACAGGTTATGTATCAGAAGGTATAATTTAAGCTCAACTCCCTTACTTATTTGATCATTTGACTAAGTTATTTATAAATACTAATCTCTCCTAAAATATACCCCTTTCGATATATCATTTCGTACTGTCATTTTTTATAAGAGTGTTATTACTATGCGTGTTTTATTCCTGAAGATATTAATCAGAGAAATTGTGATTTACAAATACGTCATAAGCAGGCTTGTGTCTGCTTATTGTGTCTCATTTTTGCCTGTACTAGGGTTATATCAGATAATATCCTTTGTGTTGGTGTTTTTCTAAGTTCATCGTCTCTAAGAATGTGTATTGTTTTGTGGAGTATATTGAATGTTAGGTCTTGTTGTGTTTTGATATGTATATGTACAAAACAAACATAACTTTCCACGATCAGAAAACATGAAGCTCATAAAACAAGTCAATGAAGGAAACCGTATGAACTTCTGTGAAAACCTGAACTTACACAAATTCAAAAGTCACTCACTTATCGAGGAAAGAATACAAATCAAAACCCAGCAACACCTAACATTTAATATACTCCTCAAAATAATTCAGATTCCTAGAGACAATGAACCTAGTTAAACATCAACCCAAACGATATTACCTAATGAAATCGAAGTACCGGAAAATTTAAAGAGACTTCCGGATGAAAGGAGAGGACAAATACCTGCACTAAGGCGATCTACCCGTATAAAAGAACAAACAAGAAGATAAAACGTTCAGTTTGAGTAGAACCATGATGATAATAGCCAATCTGCTATCGAAAGCGCTCGCATATAATAATTAGAAGCTGTTAAAGCTTCAAATCCTTTTTTTGAACAAGTTTTATTATTAAAACATTGAAAATAAAGGAAACTAGTTGCATCAATCAAAATTATACATTTCTATTTGGAAGATATAAGTAAACATGTAACAACATAGAAAGATATAAGAAATTTGGCATTTGACCAAAAAAATAGTAGTTTATTCTGGCCATAATAAACCTATATAACTCATTGTATCCTCCAATGGCGAAATTGGTAAATATAAGTTTAATTAATTAAATAGAACGTTTAATTTTCTGATTGACTCAGCTTTACTTGATGAAGATCTATAGTAAAAGGCCTTTGAATAAATTCATCATCATTGCAGAAAAATATTGTTCTTCATCACTGTTTTGCAAAAAAATAACTCTCGTGTGTCAATTGAATAATGCCAAGCATTCAACTCTCATATTATCTGTATTGATAATTATCACGATTACTAAAATATGAAAAGTCCGTGAACTATTAGCTATTAAAACAAATGATTCATACTTGTCCAAGAAAATGGAAATTTTCCAAATTAGATATCGATGTTTATTTTGGAGTGGAACCCGTAATTTTTTAAAAGTATGTTAATGAGCTCGTAGACTAGCTTCCTCTATTTGTCATCCATTTCGAGACAGTTATCCACGTCATGTTGAAGGAGCGTGTAAAACTTAAATTCGCGATATTTGCACTTCGGAAGTGGTCTTTAATTTCTCCGTACAGCTATAGTTTCGTGGTGTTACGTAAAAAATTTCTGCAGTAGGAGAACACCGTAATGAAATCAATAATTGAGGAAAATTATCAATTGAAGCTGGTATGGGAACGTTCTTGACTGTTATGAAGTTGAATAAATGATGATTCATGTTATGGATATCCATCGCCTTGCGTGCGAAAATTTACTGTAATGAAAAATTTAATAGTTCCGTACTATTGAGACTTTTATTTACTGGGGTGAATAGTTTTACGATGATCTGAATTATTCAAGATACGATTCAAGATACGATTCAACGTATCTGTTTGCGGTGCCGCAAACACCTACAATTTCAATAGCATAATGAAGCTAGTCATTGGAAACTTATTCATTATAAATATTTTTGAACTCGTAACTTCTTATGGGAGGGTAAACCGCTACGTTACCTAACGGGTAACGTCGCCAGTTTGTCTGGCTTTCCTTTCTCTCACGCATACGTCAGCGGGAGGCCGGCTCCGCCTCTCTCGTCGGATAGACTTCAGTGTTCAGTGTGCGTTAGACATATACTGAT